CCCTCACAAAACTCCCAAGAGGCAAGTACCATTATTTCTTCATTTTATCAGCTGAAAAAATGGTGAATTGAATTGCCTAAAGTCACACAGAGAAGCAGTGGCAAAACTAGGACTCACAAACTGGCCTGAATCCAGAACCCAAGGTTTCAAAATCAAGTAGAAAAAAGAGACAGAGACAGAGAGACAGAGAGACAGAGAGTCCTCCCCTTCTGACAAATGGCTATCCTTGTGTTCTTGTCCATGAAGCGGGGATCAGGAAGGGGTAGTTCTGACTTGGTTCTCATGTCTGAGCTCTCTCTAACTCTTGAAGTTTAGTGAGTGTGTAGGTGTGTGTGAGTGGTGTGTGTATGCACTCACGTGAGCCCATTCTCTTAGAGATGACCAGCAAACCCACCTGTACTCCCACATTCAAGGGTGCATACCAACAGGTCCCTTCAGAAAATTCTGTTATCTCATTTTCAGAGCACTGATGGGCTGAACTAATGGGGAGACTCAAAGCACTTAGAGGACATTTTTTGGCCTTGTCTGCTACCCCGATGCCAAGGGGAGGAATTTGGGAGGCCAAATTCCTGTCCCTGAAAACTTGTCCTCAGCACCATCACACTCATGTGCTGGCATTCTCAGAGCACAAACGCTTCCCAGGAAGAGTGTTTTAGTGGGCAGCATGGCCTGAACTCCTGGCATCTTTCCAGTGGACTCGAGGCTCTCACTCTGCGTCTAGCATTCACAGTGATGCACCTCCTGCTCCTCTTCCTGGGAGTACAAGTTTCTTTCACCTCTTTCTCCAGGGTTTCTGCAGAAATCCTCTCTCCCCGTGATGACCCCTACATCTCGTAGTATGGATCATCTCTATCCTCAAGTCTCTGGGTTTAGAAACCTCTCTCCTCTGGTTCTTTGTTTCTTTAGTTCCTGCAATGATTATACCAACCTCTTATCTTTCTGGTGCTACTTTTCTTACATTCTGTAACTCTTTTATTTTACCACCATATAGTTGTGTATGTACCAGATTGTCACTCCAAAACGTTGCTCTATTGATCAGTCACTGTATTTATACGTCCAGATATCTATATCTGCATTAAACAGAAGATTGCATATGTCTATACCAGAAAGAGTTAGTGCAACTCACATCCACCATGCTGATTCTTAGTTCCTAATGAAGACAGAACCAAGTTCTTGCATTGCTTCACAATCCTCCACAATATTAACCCAAATTTTTTTTCAGACTGATTTCTTCCTAGTTTTATCCTGCCCTCCAAATAAAGATATATAAGTTATTTTTGCCTGAAATATTCTTCAAATGTACAAATATTTTGTCTTTGAGATTTTCTTCATGATAAGGAATTTGGACTTCATCTGTTACCTGATGGGTAGACAGTGAGTTATTTTAAAGAGTACACAAAATCAGTTATATTATAAATATACTTTTGGGTCCAGTAAACAGATGTAAAGACGCCTGCCTAAGAAAGGAAGAACATATATAAGAAGTTGGGTGGTAGCTAGAAAGAGTTACAAGATTGAGGATCATTCATTGAATGACTAAAGGGGCTAAAATATGTTTGCCAGTTAATGGGAAAGTGCTGGTATTGAGGTAGATATTGGAGAGAGAAAATACTGCAGCTGACAGAATGGTGGAGCAATATAGCTGAAGAAACAGAAAAGAACAAAGATGACAGAATATTGGATGCATGGACACTTTTCCTCTGAGTCTTTTGGGAAAAAAGACAAGATGGAAGTAGGTGAATGGTATGATATGCGGGAAAGAATATTGAGGAAATACTATCCCTTTCACCCCAGAGATAACTGCTATTCTAGAATGGGTAATATACTCCCATGCATGATGTATACTTTCACCACACATGCATGCATTATTTTATGTGTTAAAACTTACATATATTCTGTGCTATGCCATACATCTTACAGCAACTTGCTTTTTTCATTGCGTTAGAATTTTTAAAAATGATTCCATCTGAATACATTCATTTTAACTGTTTTGCAGAAGTCAAAACAAGAAAATGTCTAAGTTTTCTACATGACAATATACAGCCTTTGATGTCTTCTGTAACACATGTATTAGAGTTGCATGTCTTCTGGAACACGTATGTTAGAGTTTCTCTAGGGTCCAATCAAGAAGTGGAATTGCTGAGTCAGCAGGAGGTAAAAGAATTTTCAGCTTTCCTAGATATGGGATAATTGTTCTCCAAATGATCATACTAATTTTTCCATTTCTTCCCTACACTTGAAATTGTCAGACTTTGCACTTGCTCCAAGACAAAGGATGTTAAATTGAATTTTGTTTTAATTTGGTTGAGATTCTTTTCTTTTGATTATCGGCCACACCAGTTTCTTCTTCTATGACTTGTGTATTCAAACCTGCTGCCCACTACTTGCTACTGGGTTTTTGGTCCTTTTCTTATTAGTGTGTAGGACTCTTCTGTATTCTGAATACTAAACCTTTATTGATTATGTGCACAGCACATACCTCTTCTAGTCCATGACTTGTCTTTCTCCTTCCTTTATGGTGTGTGTTTCATACAAATGTCTTATTTTTCAAGTAGTCAAGTTTTACAACATTTTCACTTTTGTGTTGTGCATTTGTGCCTAGATTAAGAAATCACTTCCTACTCTAACATTATAAACACATTTTGTTCTAAAGTTTTTGAATTTTTGCTTTTCACTATTAAGTCATCAGGAATCCTTTTTCTGTATCACTTTTTATGTATGGGTATCCACCTGTCCCAGCACTCTTCACCAAATAGTCAGTCCAACTGTTCCATGCCTGTTACTAAACCAACCCATCATGTACCAATTTCTAATAAATATTTGACCTGTTTCTAGGGTCTCTAGTTGTTACATAGATGTGTTTGTCAGTCCCTATGCCAGCACTAAGCCATTGTAAGAAGTTCCAGAGTAAATCATTTTCATACTTGGTGGGGCAATTCCTCCCTCCTTATCTTTTTCCACAAATTATCTTAGCTCTTATTGGCTCTTTCTTCTCCTATATGAATTTTTGGATCAGTTCACTAAGTTCCATGTTTAGAAGAAACCCATTGTGTTTTTATTGGGATTGCAACAAATTCATAGATTAATTAGAGGAGAATTGACATTTTTACAACATTGAGTCTCCATTACCATTTCTTATCTCCACATTTTTTTAGGTGTTCTTTTCGTCATTCAGTAAAGTTTTGTAATTTTTTAAAACAGTCTTGGACACTATTGTTAGAATTATTTCTAGATTTCTTAAATTTCTGTTGCTGTTGGGAATAGAAAGTCTTTCTAATATTATATTTTGCTATTTCTTTTTACTTAAATGTAACAACAATATTGATTTTTTTAACATTGATTTATATCAAACTTGCTGAAACCTTTTACTTCATCTGGAGAGTCCCTTGGATTTCCTTCCATTGCAGACAGTCTTATTTCCTGTGAATTCTATCCATTTTGATTTTTCCTTTTCAATTATTATATGGCAAAAATTTCTTCTAGTGCTCTTTTCACAGATAGGACAACATTTCAAGTGCTTTATGCAGAAGGCTCACTATATACTCCCTGCTTCATATGGATCTGTGGCCACGTCTCCTAGGGCCACCATAGCATCAGCTCTGGCTTACACCACTTGCTCTTGAGTTTTCTTTTTCTTTCTCACACCTATGTTATTCTGTTTCTAACTTTTAGGTTTAGCTGTGTGTTTTTTCTTTTTCTTTAATAATTTATATAGAGTTTCTGTGTTTTAATAGGAATGGGACCTTTTAATATCAGCTAAGTCTGCCATGTTGCCAAGAGCCCCACGTCTAAAGTATGCTTCTCTACCACATGAGCTAACCACAGTCTGTGAGCCCTCCAGTTTTACTGACCCTTCTCAACTCTGAAATACTATGATCCTGTGCATATATAACATGAGAAAGGGCATTTCAAGTGAGAAAACCAAATTCGTTTAGGTGCAGAGATGAAAAAGCATATCATATTTAAGGGAAAGATAAGTTTATCTGCTTCCCCTGTGCTAGCATATAATTCCCATCTGTACTATAGGAGACACTGAAAATTGGTGGTTAAATTAATTACGGATTGAATTAATATTGAGTAGAAGTCTCTTTAGAAAAATTAGTGAATAACTTCGGATATCCTGGACTACAGTAACAAATACATGTAAAATATGTAATGATGTAGTTAAACAAAATCAAGTTTATTTCTCTCTTATGTAAAGGTCCTAGTGGGTGCCGTTGGTGGTGGGTGGCCTTCCTGGTTGTAGAGAAGTAGGAATACAGGCTCTTTCCACCATGTGATTCCACCATCCCATTCAGACTCCTGGCCATCTGCACCCAGCTTGCCCAAGGGGAAAGAGAATTTGAAGGAAGCCCAGAACTGGAACACATGGGTGGATTGGCTAGAACTCAGTCACATGACCATACCTCAATACAAGGGAGCCTGCAAAATGTAGTCTAGCCGAGCATCGAGGAAGAAGAGAACAAAGTGGATTTGGGTGAGATGCTAGTAGTCTCTGCCACAGTTAGTATGCCTCAGAGTCAAGGTGAAGGAAAGGAAGGAACCCATAGCGAAGCAATTGAGGGAGTTTTACAATATTTCAGGTAGAAAATGATAGTGGGCAAAGCTAAAGCACTGAGACAATAAGTATAAAATCTATGTATGAATTATTTAAAATGAAGAATCAACAAGGTCAGATGTAGAGGTAGGGGATAACCTGAGTGATAAATCCTGTGAGCATCTCACATGTGGGGAACCCATGAAACAAACATGGATATATTCAAACTATTGAGTGCAAACTTATTGTTGCATAAAATAAGCAATATTCCAAATAATCTGTAAGGAAGATAAAAATAATCAAGACACGGTTCTCTTCCTCTAAAAAGCTTGCAGTCTTCCTAGGTTGGATGTGCAGAGTATGAGGCCAGACGTTGGCGAGATGACTGGACATGGAAATATAAGAAATGAGATCAAGCCTACAAGATAGAAACCCAAGAGTCTACTAAGCAGCAGTTGAAGCCATGATGGAGTTGGATGAGTCACCAAAGGAAATAATAAAGAAAGGTAAGGGAAGGTTGAAGAGAAAAACATTATGATTATATATATTTAAGGGTTTTGAATAGAGGCGAAATCTATCCAAGGAAGTGGTGAATGTCTACTTTAAAAATGGGACGCCTGGGGAATAAACACCAATTTTGTTTTGCTACAACCTAACCCCAATGGTCTTTGTGATTTACAATCTTCTGATGCCAGTGTAGACACTTGTTACCTCCTGGCTCTGGGCTTATTCTGGGTTTGGCCAGTAGAGCTGTTTCTAATTGTCCAGTGTATCATTGTACTGACTGTCCTTTGCTCTGGAGTGTTTTTTCAAAGACCCCAAAACACTGTCCTTTCCTTTTTGTGTGTAATAAAATTAGTATATGATTCAGCTTTCTCCATTAAGTTGTAGGTCCTTGAGAGCAGATACTATGTCATATATGAATAAAGGGATGAATAAACCATATTTTTCATGTGTTTATGATTTTTCCATGAGTTCTAACAACGTTTCTAGCACATTGAATATGAACTTTAGTTATATGATAAATTATTAAATCCTAGAAGTTTGGGTGATGATGATGCTGGGGTTGGGGAGGAGGGGCACCTCTGATTCAAGGTTACTCACTTCTTGAGTGAGTGTCCAGGGCTAATTATCAAATAGTCCCAGCCACCAACAGGGATTTTTCCCCAGTGTATTGGCTATCTCTGGATTTAGTAAACCCAGACACAGACACAGCCACCACGGGAGTCAAAAGTGGTATTTAAGGAAGATTACATACAGCTCTTCACTAATAATTCTGTATTCCTCTCCCCTTTCTTGCTGAAGCGTCCACGTGTGAAGACAACCAATCCTCCACCCTGGATTTCATCCTCCTGGGAGTTACTGGTCAGCAGGAACGGGAAGATTTCTTCTTCATCCTCTTCCTATTCATTTATCCCATCACCTTGACTGGAAACCTGCTCATCATCTTGGCCATTTGCTCTGACATTCGACTTCACAGACCTATGTATTTTCTCCTTGCCAACCTCTCTTTTGTTGACATCTTCTTCTCCTCTGTAACCATTCCTAAGATGCTGACCAACCATCTGTTGGGCACCAAAGCCATCTCCTTTGGAGGATGCCTAACACAGGTGTACTTTATGATTGGCATGGCTAACACAAATAGCTATATCTTGGCAGCAATGGCATATGATCGTGCTGTGGCCATCAGCTGCCCACTTCATTACACAGCGATTATGATCCCACGGTCTTGTGTCCTGCTAGTTGTCATGTCTTGGGTTGTTGGAAATGCCAATGCCCTCCCACACACTCTGCTCACAGCTAAGTTGTCCTCCTGTGGAAAACAGGAAGTGGCCAACTTCTACTGTGACATGGCCTCTTTGCTCAAGTTGTCCTGTTCTGACATCCATTTCAATGTGAAGATGATGTACCTAGGGACTTTTGTTTTCTCCATGCCATTACTATGTATCATCATCTCCTATGTTCGGGTCTTTTCCACAGTCTTACAGGTCCCATCCACCAAAGGTGTGCTCAAAGCCTTCTCCACCTGTGGATCCCAACTCACAGTTGTTTCTTTGTATTATGGGACAGTCATGGGCATGTATTTCCGCCCTCCATCTAGTTACAGCCTAAAGGATGCAGTGGTAACTGTGATGTACATTGCAGTGACCCCAATGTTAAATCCTTTCATTTACAGTCTGAGAAACCGAGACATGAAGGCTGCCCTGGGGAAACTCTTCAGCAGGAGAATCTCCTCATAACCCATGTGAGGTCGTACATTGGAGACTTCAGTCACCAATTAGGATGCACTTGAAAATCCAGCCCCAATGTCCTCTCCCTCCAAGAAACCACCTTTGATCTCCCAGGATAAGGCCACTCAGGTCTACAGGCTTCCATTTGTTCCTGTCAGGTCCAAAAGCAGGAACAGTGTTGGCAACATACGGCTTCACCCTTTCAGGCATCTGGTGTAATTGAGCTAAGAGAGAATATCATCTCTTGCTCTGAGCCTCTTTCAAGGTGTTAATGTAATAGAATATTTCCTTTATTTCATAACCCATTTATTCATTCCCTTACCCTCAGCCACTATTCCACCTGCTCTCCATTATACTCTAACTTTTCCACCTTTGGAAGGGACATTAGGTTAAGCCACTGTGCTGGTCTAGATTGCAGGCAGCAATATTAATCTAGCAAGTCTCTCCCCCTAAGTTCACTTCTATTCAGATAAGGTCAGGTTACATAGATACAGAACTAGTGGGCTATCCTGACCACTAGGCAACCAACTTTGCCAGATGGGATCAAAGTACAATCCACCCTATTAGGCCCTTAGGAATTCTGACATAATATTTAGAACATAGTTACAGTTTCTTGCATAGGAATTATCCCTGCATCCAGGACTTGTAGTTGCAGCCCTGGTTCTGTGACCACTGCATCAAGTGGGGGGGTGGGGAGAAACCAAGGTAATGTGAGAAAGAAAGAAAGAAGTATAGTCATTATACCAGTGTACATTATACCAGAGGGGTGTACTCCTCCCTTGGCAAGAATTAGCAGGATGCTTCCCCACCTCCTGTTCCCCAGACTCACCAGAAAAACAGAAACCTGTCCAGCAGGGACACTCCTTTAGCCCCATTCATGTTCATACTGAATGTGAGCACACAGTCATGAGGGATTGTAAGCCAGCCCTTCATGTCTTTATCTCCCCCCATTTTAGATAACCAATGTTTTAATTGCCCATTCCAATTCTCTATCAAACTAGTACTCTGAGGAGGATATCTCTCTGCCCATTGTTGGACATTGTGGTCTGTAAAGTGTGTTCCTTGGTCTGAAGGAACAGCAGTCAGATATCCAAAATGGTGCAATAGCTTCTCTTCCACTCTTTTATAGCACTTAGCATTTGCATCTACCACCAGATAAGCAAAGCCCAGTCCAGAGTCAGTGTCTATTCCTGTCAAGAACCATTTGTAGCCCCCTAGGGTTACCAGCATACGTCCCACTTACCAGGTATGCTTAGGCCCTTCCCCCCAGAGAATCTGCCACATAGCCATCTGCAGTCTCTGTCTCTTTAGCTGGCAGACAGAAGAGCTCTTATTGGCATTTGGTGCCCCAGGGGCTGCAAGAGGATTATGTTCAGATTCAGCCCATTTCTGCATTGCTACAATACCCCATGTCCACTCATTTCATGAATCCAAGTGGGCACCTCAAGTGAGCACATGGGCATGTCTGCTTGTAATTCCAACCACCTTTCAAACCTAGAAAGGAGTTCTTCTGATGGGCATCAACATGTTCTAATTTAATGCATCCCTTAAATTCCCGCAGTGATTTCCATAGGGCTGTGCCCCATATGGGCATCCCTTTAGTAGGCCAGGTTTCCGTTGTCCTACTGCCTGACCATATGGCTAGGCCATTGGCCACTGCCCATGTGTCAGTAAAAACTTAAATATAGGGGCTTTTATCACTGTTCAATCAGTGTCAGGTACTGAACCCTAAGCTACCCCAAATATTTAGCCAGTAACCATGTGTGGCAATAGAACTCTCAAAATGTGCTAGTTCAAATTGAAATGTGTTGTAAGTGTAAATTACTCTCTGGATTTTAAATATTATAAAATAACTCAGTACTGCTATAAAATACTGATTGCATGTTGAAATGATAATAATTTGGAATATTGGGTTAAATTAACTATAACATTAAAATGATTTTCACTTGTTTCTTTTTCCTTTTCTTCCCCAGCCTTATTGTTCATCTTTTCAAAACACTAACTCTTATTTCATTAGTCTTTTCTATTGCGGTTTTTTTGTTTTTTTGTTTTTTTTGGTCTCTATTTCATTTATTTCTGCTGTGATCTTTGTTATTTCCTTCCTTCTGCTAACTTTGGGCTAGCTTGTTCTCTCTTTTTAGTTTCATGAGGTATAAAATTAGGTTATTATTTGACATCTTTTTTTTTTAAGGTAGGTGTTTATTGCTTTGAATTTTTCTCTTAGAACTGCTTTTGCAGCATCCCGTAGGTTTTGGTATGTTGTGTTTCCATTTTCATTTGTTTCAAATACTTTTTTAAATTTTCCTTTTGATTTCTTATTTGACCCATCAGTTGTTCAGGAGTATGTTGTTTTCCTTCCACTTATTTGTGAATTTTCTAGCTTTTTTCTCCTGTTATTCATTTCTACTTTCATGCCATTGTGGTCAGAAAAGATACTTAGTATGATTTCAATCTTTTAAAATTTTCCAAGCTTGTTTTGTGACAAGTCATATGATCTATTATGGAGAATTTTCCAAGTGCACTTGAGAAGATGTGTATTCTGCTGCAGTTGGATCAAATGTTCTGGTAGGTCTGTTAGGTCTACTTGGTCTAAAGTACGATTCAAGTCCAAAGTTTCTTTGTTGGTTTTTTGTCTGGATGATCTACCCATTGTCTAAAGTGTGGTGTTAACTTTCCTTACCGTTACCATATTGTTGTCTATTTCTCCCTTGATATCTGTTAGTCTTTTTGTAATATATTTAGATGCTCCAATGTTGGGTGAATATATATTTATGATTGCTGTATCTTCTTCATGAATTGACTTCCTCATAATTATATAATGATCTTGTCTTTTGTTACCAATTTTGGCTTAAAGTCTATTTTTCTGTATAAGCATAGCTACCTCTACTCTCTTTTGTTCCCATTTGCATGGAATATCTTTTGAATCCCTTCTCTTTGAAAGGACATGTGTTCTTAAAGCTGAAGTGAGTCTCTGTAGGCATCATATAGTTGGGTCTTGTTTTTTTATCCATCCAACAACTCTGTTTCTTTTGATTGGAGAATGCAATCCATTTACATTTAGAGTAATTTTAATAGGTAAGGACTTACTAATGACATCTTATTTATTGTTTTCTGGCTGTTTTGTAGGTCCCTTGTTCCTTTCTTCCTCTCTTGCTGCCTTTTCTTGTCAATTGGTGATTTTCTGCTGCGGCATGCTTTTATTGTCTTCACTTTATCTTTTGTGAATATATTGCAGATTTTTACTTGTGGTTGCCATGAGGCTTACGTGAAAGATCTTATCAATATAACTGTTTGTTTTATGCTGATAACAATCTAACTTACCATACAAAAACTTTACTTTTTTACTGCCCCCTTTATGTTTTGAATGTCACAATTTACCTCTTTTTGTATTATGTATCCACTAACCAATTATTTTACCTATAGATATTCTTAATACTCTTGTCCTTTAACTATAGTTAAGTGGTTACCACTGCCACATTACAGAGTATTCTGGATCTGGCTATATGCTTATCTTTACTCATATGTTGTGTATTTTCATGTTTTTATGTTATTAATAAATGACCTTTCATTTCGATTGAGGAACTCCTTTCAGCATTTCTTATAAAGCATGTCTAGTGGTGATGGACTCCCTCAGCTTCTGTTTGTTAGGGGAAGTCTTTATCTCACATTCATTTCTGAAGGACAACTTTGCTGGGTATTCTTGATTGGCAGTTTCTTTCTTTAAGCACTTTGAATATATCACCCTATTCTCTCCTGGTCTGCAAGGTCTGTGCTGAGAAATCTTTTGATAGCATTTTGGGGAGTTCCCTTTTATGAGAGAAATTTTTTCCTCACTTTTCTTAATAATTTATTTTTCTGATGTCAATTTTGCCTAAAATGTCAATTAAAATATTTTTATACTTTTTATTCATTTCTGTCCATTATTTCAAGATCAACTTCATTTTCATCTAAATTTGTTTCCATTTTATGCTTTTTTTGATGTCTTAAGATAAGAAAAAATTTTCTAAAACATTTTTCTCTTCTCTTTCTTAAATTTCTTTCAAGTGTAAGTTTTTCCTCCAAGTACTTAAGATGTTACTCCTCTTCTCTTACTCTGCCAATATACTTCATAGATTTCAAAAACACCTTTAAATGAGAGGTATTTACCAAGCCTGGAATTTGCCAACAGACAATTAAACTTAGTTCCTTTCACCAAAGAAGTTTTTCTCTTTTGGGAGGGAGAGTAAGGTCAGAGATTCTTTTGATAAGTTAAGAAATCTGTAGTCACTTTCCATGGAGAATATTTGCAAATGTTTGAATGTTAAAGTATCATCTTCTTCATAGTTTTCTTACATATCATTACACAATTCCTTTCCCCTAATGGCTACTCAGTAAATAAAACTTGGATGTAGTAAGAGAGTCTGAGAAGAACACCAATAACAAAATGTTATTACCAAGAAGAAAATATTACCATGGGATATCATCTTATCCATGTCTGAGAGCCCATGTCCTGGACACAGGAGCACAATCTGATCATAGGGAAAGTAACAACAGAGCAAATAGGATGGATAATCCGAAGCAAGTCTAGAGGAAAATGTAATTCAAGATTCAGAGTATTGTCCAACAATTACATGACTAGTAGTAAAATAAGTAGTTAATAGGTACTATTATAGGTAATAAAGGTAGTAGTATAGAGGTAGCAAAATAACAGTTAATGATGACTAATTGCTAGTTATGTCTCAGGCTTGATGTAAGAACTTTTCAGATATTAATTCATTTGATCCTCATAACAACTTTATGGGGATGTTGTGATTGTTGCTGCTGTTATTCCAATTACAGAGATGAGTGGGTACATTAAATAGTTGTTCAAGGTCAGTTACAGCCAGTCAGAGGGAGAACCTGGACTGAAACTGAGCCAGAGCTCAGAGTCTCCTCCATGATCTTCTACAGAAAGGTAGTGACCTCTCTGCCACAGGAGGGGCTAAATCATGGTATAATGACCATTAATCAGTACTGTTATAAAGGTGACA